CTACATGACTAAAGCTCATCCTGCCATACCTCAGAGCCACGATGGGAAAAGCGAGACTATATTCTGCTTTGGCACTACTTAGTATTGAATAGTATTCTTAGTATTGAATTTTCGGGGGCTTCTAGGCAACTTTCGGAAGATTTTAAGCGACGCTCGATCATTCCCACTTTGCTCTCTTTAAGGAAATCTTCCCCCTCGTTGGGGCATCCCCCTCCCCCGAACATTGGACCCCCCTCGTGCAAATTCTGGCCTCATTCCTGGTAACGAGAGCTAGGATAATAATAGTTATTCGGGTTTAAATAATGTTATTTAGACAGTGCATTATATGGACGTCCCGATGGAAGTACAGTACGCATATGTTTAAAGTCTATACAACCAATATCAATTAATTTCAAAATATTATAATTATAATTGTGGGGTGGGGGCGCAATTTTCTACTCTTGCGGCCGGGCGCCCGAACCTCTAGGACGCCACTGACGCGACCGTACGTCTAGTTGCTCTCGTGTGAACAAGCTACCTCTGACAATGGACTTTTAATTTAAATAGATCCAATATACTGTACTAATAAACCGGAGACAATCCCTCCCCTACTCTATTTTTAAGAGTGTACTGCGTTGTTGGCCAAACACAATGCGCGTAGGCCTAAAAGAAACATGGATACTTTTCAATAAGAAGGTCATGCTAGTATAATATATGGTCAGGGGCGGATTTAGTTGGAGGAGGGAGAGGGCCCCCCCCCACGTATGTTAATTAGTAACCACATGATGTAGGCCTTCACTCAGAAAAATATGGTTTAGTTAAAAAGATAGGCTATGTCAGTAGTAGCAGGATTGTGGTATTTTTTTAAAGGGTGTGGTCATTTTTTTATTCTTTTTTTTTTTTTTTAAACCCAATTTAATTGTGATTCATACTGCTACACGGTAACAGTTACGTGATCAATCTCCTTATTTTGTACATACCTTGTCTTAGACACGCCTTATATCAGTACAGGTAAATGAAAACAAGATGTAAAATGATTTAATTGTAGACCTGTTACTATTATTAACATGCATAATATAAGTACATTCGATTTCTTATGAGATGTGAGACATGAGAGTGGAAGAAAATAAGAAAATTTTCGTTTTAAACATAATTATCAATATAATAAAATGTAATTTGCATTGAGAGATAATGAAAGCAATACTATAACGGTATATTATATTTCCGACTGAAACATCCCGTGGCTGTGAATTAGTGCCAGATTTTCATGGGCAACAATTGTCGTCGTATACATCTTAGGCCTAAAATCGGAGAGTAAAATGAGCGTTTATCAACAAAGAATACAGTTTTATTTGATTATGCGCCTTTTGTCAAATTGATACCATTAGGTTAAGTTTCAATTTATTACTTTTACTTTCTGCTTTTGATAAACATAATACACAGCATAACTTATAAGATGTTGCTTCTGAAATTTTTTGTTCAAGATATTGTTTATTGATAAATCATCTCATACCTGTTACTATAGCAGATACAAAATTTAATTATGATCAAAAACGTAAGCCTACTTCGTAGTTTGATATGATTCTGTCGCATCAAAGCCATTGATATATTTGCATGACTGTTAGCTGAGAGGTAATCTACGGACAGGCATCGTCTTCTTCATTCTGTGAATATTCAGAGTGTTCAGTGCTTAGAGTATGCTAGGGACTATAATACCGCTGTTACTTGCTGCGCTTGGTATGTTAATATTGCTAGAGCCGTGGTCTCCATATATTATTATAAATGATATTATGTATACATTTATAGAACTTATACTGTAGTAATTATATATGCCTATATATATATATATATATATATATATATATATATATGTATATATATATATCATATCTACAAC